TTCGATATCTGATGAAATGACTGGTTCAAAGAAAAAGGAAGTGGTAAAATTGGTATTTGTTAAGTATCCGTTATAGTGACAATTACTATCTTGTACACTTGCCGCTAGCTTTTGGCCAAGCCTGATCTGAGGTGATGTGGAAGTATTTGGACAACTGGGCCCTACCTATTCTAGTACACTGAATTGCATGCGTCCGTGTTGAGGTTTTTTTATAATTCAGATCTGAATTGAAAAAGAAAGAAAATCCGAAATGACGTTCCCATCAACGGGATTTCTATTTGATAATTTGCAGGGGAAACGGATTCATGGAAAGTTTCCTTCCCTCCACGGGAAGTAATACCAAAGAGACGACCTAGAAAAGAGGTCACTTACAAGGTAAGACCTTTAGCAGTTCAAATATTCTGTTAATAAGGGACTCGGAGTTAATCATAACTGAGAGGGTGTTATTGCTTATTTAAAACAAAGGTAAAGAGAAAAACGTACCCCCAACTTAACATAGTTATAAAAAACTTACCCTAATTCCCAATTCATATGCTGTACAAAACCTGGCCCCTCCTCACACCCCAGTTTCATCTGAAGATTGCTCAGTCTTGGTTCACTCGTGGGTAGTGCATAACGCTTGGATATTTTTTTTTATTGTGTATGGTGTTAAGATGAACAGCGAAACTATGAAGCTATTGGGAAATCTTAAAAGTGTTTTTGGTAACATAACCTGGGATGGAATACGATTTAAAATCAGAGAAGCATCAAAGGAAATCCCTAAAATCCTATTCCATTTTAAATGGAGGGTGAACGGCGAAACATGCTAAGAAACCGGCAGCTTGGAAATTTTGGTTGTTTTGTGTTAAGAGCTACGATCATTTCTAAATTAAATGAAGATGGTTGATAATAAGTGTGTTTTGACTTTTTTGATAGTCATTTCGATGACATAGACCCAAGATAATTACCTAGGAGCGCGCAAGGAGCTGTCAATCTGTTCTGAAGGCCTCGGAGAAGCCCAGACTTCGGAATGAGTAAAATGTCCAGTCTTCAATATTTTGTGCTGTGAAGATGTAGAGACATTTTTCATGATATTTTCATATCTGGCATGAAGTCAAAGCATGTCGCCCCTTATAAGGTAATCCGGGATCTGGCAGCCACGATTCTCTTTCTTTAAAATCCAGCATCCGCGTCATACATCCGGGTAAACGGTATTCAGTGGGTTGGGTTGTCCTGGCGTATATGAAATAAGTAAGTAAGCAAGTAAGTATATTTATCTACGTTGAACACTAAAGAGCTTACAACAGAGCTCGCAAGAACGTGCACGTGCTAAATAAGGATGGAAGAGTTTTCAGAAAGACAAACTCCGAGCTCTATCATTCGAAGAGTTTTGGGAATAACATAGTAGGCAGAGAAGGCGAAATAATCCGACTGAACACAGGTATTTTCCCGAGCGTCTTAAAAACATCGGTATCAGGTGAAGTTGATTTACGATCATCTCAAAGTCGCGTTTTATCAGTGAAAAATCACCGTTAAATGGTTACTGAACAATTTTGAAAAACTTAAGCAAAATATTCTAGATATGAAAGTAGCTACCCCTTCAATGTATTTTCGTGCCCTAAGTGAAGAAAAATCCCAGAAATCTACATAAACAGGATCACGCAAAATGGCTCATTTCGCGTAAAAACATGTGAAAGTGACGGAGACGTAACACAAAGAAAACAAAAGAAAAAAAAACTTGAAGCAATAACTTAACCTTAACACGAGCTGGAGAGACAAAATAAAATTTTCATAAGTTTAAACATTGACGTAAATCCGGTATAGTGGGAAATCAAAATGGAGGTTGTACTTGAAAATCTACCCATAACAAACTTGAACTGTTCGCGAACAATGTGAACGCTATGAAAGAAATGGATCGCAATGAAAACGCTTCAGTACATAAATGATTCTTGATTTTTCTTAGGGCTAGGTTGTTAAAAATTTCCAATATATCACCACTGGTTTAAAATGAAATGGTATTTTCTGAGTGTTGGTCGCACTGAGAAAGTGTTACAGTAGTAACATACCTTAACAAAATGTTCACATTCTATCAAACTTGAGAGCCGGCTGCTCGCCGATGGGGTAATTACTCCCAAGTTATGAGATTAGAGTTTGTCAGAGAGAAGCAAAATGCACAATAGAATTTGGATCCGGTCATTTCATCGGCTATGAGCGATTCAAGACGACCCTTAAAGCGGTTCTAGATATGGTGCGAGCTAAGTTATGATTCACCATCCCATAATATTCCTTTGATTTTGTGATTTTGACTATAAGGCAATGTGCAGTGAATCCTTTTTTTCATAGTCTTTGGCTAACACTGCAAACTGAATCGCCGCCGCAGCAGCCATTTCATTTCACGCACGCGAATTGTAACGGGTACGTGAAGCAGGACACAGTAAGGTCGTCTTTTTATAGCAAAATCAGACATCAAGGGGAATAAAAGAGTGTAATTCAGCATTTTTATATTTCCCTCTATGATGCAAGCTTTGTGAGTCATGTTTGCGAAATAACGAAGACTGAAGAAGCCAATCAGTTGAGCGTTGAATTTACAAAATACTCAATATCTTTCTCCAGGAGAGCTTTTTTGATATTTAAAAACCTCCTTTAAACAATTACAAAGTACAATAATGAAAACACTTCACATTTATTATAAGACCGATTAATCACTGTCTGATTCAATGACATGGTTTTCGTCTTTTTTAAAATTGTTTATTATTTTTTATTTATTATAAACATTAAAACAATGCTGCAGAATGTTTTTGTGATTAACGATAGTACTTACAATACTACTAAATAGAAATTACCACTACTGAAACTTAGTACCACGTATATGAAAAATTATAAAGTTTGGCTATTATAGTACAAAGAAAAAGTACCATTAAGAACACTAAAAGTTTGATTAGAAACTCCCTTCTGTAATAAAATTATTTTGATTCTCTGATATTATAGCAATATATTTTTCTATAGTTTGTCCCGAGCCAAACGAGTATATATTCATTTGACTTGACCTTATTTTTATTCTTGGTGCTGACGAATAAAAAGAGTCAACCTATGATAATGGATGGTTTGGTGGCAAATGGTATCAAGAAAAGCGAAATATACCATACAGAACTGCTATATTAGTCTTGTGAACTCGATTTGGAAGGTTTATTACGCACATGAAATTCACCCTATGCAAATGATGAAACCCTTAAATTGCACTGTTTAAGTATAGCTGCGTTAAGCCCTGTATAGTTGTGAAGAGCCCTTTATAGCTGTGTATAGTTGTCTATAGCTGTGTATAGCCCTTTGAAGCTGTGTATGCCCATTTATATCCCTGTATATAGCTGTGTATAGGCCTGTATAGCTATGTAAAACCGTTTATTGCTTCGTTTAGCCCAGTTTAGCTTTGTATAGCTTTTCATAGACCTGTATAGCAGTGCAAGGTTGTGTATATCCCTGTATAGCTGTATATAGCTGTGTTTAGCTGTATACAACCCTGTAGCTCTGCATAGCTCTGTAGAGCTCTGTAGAGCTCTGTATAGCCCTGTATACTTGTGTATAGCTCCGCATAGCTGTGTGTAGCCTTGTATAGCTGTTTATAGCTCTGTATAGCTGTGTATAGCTGTGTATAGCTCTGTATACTTGTGTACAGGCCTGTATAGCTGTGTGTAGCCCTGTATAGCCGTATATAGCCCTGTTTAGCTCTGTATAGCTGGGTATAGCCTTGGATAGCTGTGTAAAGCCCTGTACAGCAGTGTATAGCTGCGTATAGCCATGTATTGCTGTGTATAGCCCTTTATAGCTGCATACAGCCCTGTAGAGCAGTGTATAGCCCTGTATAGCTGTGTATAGCCCTGTATAGCTGTGTATATCTCTGTATAGTTGTGTATAGCCTTGTATAGCTATGTATAGCCCTGTATAGCTGTGTATAGCCCTATATAGCTGTGTATAACTGTGTATAGCAATATATAGCCCTCTGGAGCTGTGCTGTGTAAAGCCCTGTATAGCTGTGCATAGCGCACTATATATGCATTATTAACCAAGCGCAAGGTCGAGATAGCTGGATATTGGCTGAGTTCTTTTTTTGCATTTTTATGGACCTCGACTTCCTCTCAGTATAGCCCTGTATTTCTGTGTATAGCCCTGTATAGCTATGTATAGCCCTATATAGCTGTGTCATTAGCCCTCTATAGCTGTCTATAGCTCTGTATAGTTATGTACAACCCTTTATAGCTGTGTGTAGCCCTGTATCAGCCGTGTATAGCCCTGTATAGCTCTGTATAGCTCTTTATAGCTCTGTATAGCCCTGTATAGCTGTGTATAGCTCTGTATAGCCCTGTATAGCTGTGTATAGCTCTGTATAGCCCTGTATAGCTGTGTATAGCCCTGCTTAGCTGTGTATAGCCGGGTAAAGCCTCTACATATTGGCCGAGTTCTTATTTTGTTTTGCATTTTTATGGACCTCGAATTCTTCTCGGTCCGTAAAAATACGAAAAAAGAACGAGGCTAATATCTGGCCATCTTGACCGAACAAGCTTGGTGAATAAAGGATTTATTATATTGCAAAAAGATTTCGCTTTATTAAGAGTTAAGNCAACTGTGTTTGTAGCACAACACACTCACGGAAGTCGTTTCTGTTTCCTTTTCTTGACTATCTTCTGCCACTTTTTTCGTTTCTATCGTCGAAATTGTCCAAGAATTACGAACTTAGTTCTAATTCAATTTTTCCATGCACGGGATCAAAGCAGGTAATCCCCACTCGGGCAGCCAATCAGAACACAGGATTCGCTTCATCTTGCCCGCGGGCGTTGCGAACGGTGTAATAAAGCCGTGTATAGCCCTGTACAGCTGTATATAGCCCTGTATAGCTTTACATAATTTTATATGTTGTATGTATGTTAGGACATTATACAATATATATTGGGACATAACAATTCTCTATACATGAAGTATCTATGAGCTAGAGGAGAGAGACTGCTAACAATACGAACTAAGGGCACAGAAGAGTGATTTCAACATGGCGGACGAAGAGCAACTCTAAACGACAGCAAACGTTTGGAAATAATTACAATGTGTGGCATTTGCTGTTGCCTCTTCTTGGATAATCACAGCTCTAGGAATCGTTACAAGGTTTTCATTTATCTGTTATCCTATCTTTACATTCCTTCATATTTTTTTTTTGTGAGAGGCAAGAGAACTCTGAGCACATGTTATTGTCCCAGAAGTGATTAACATGTAACTTCTCCCTTTAAAATCCAAACATGATCCATCAAACAGGTGATGAGAATACTCAATCTTATCAGATAAATGTTTTAATCTTAGACGAACATCAAATTCTGGAAAGTAATTTACAAGAAAATTTGTAGCAGCTTGAGGGAACCGGAGAATTCACGATCATATCCTGGGAGTTAAAGGGCTTCCTAATTTTCTTTTAATTGTTGAGGAAGAGTTATGGTCCTCAATTTCTTAAATTTTCATCGCTACAATTGAGTTTTGTTTTGTTAAAAGGGGTGGCCTAAGATTCAGGGAAGTAAAAATTTCTTTATTCAATTTTTTTTTCAAGGTTATTTCAGATTCAATCCTTCCACATCTTCAAAGGAGAGGTCCAGATCATGCGGGAAAAACAGACTGTTCCATAACAAATGACACTGGAACAATCTGCTTGAGATTTGCTGCTACTGTACTTCATTTGAGAGGAACAAAGACACCCCAACCTTTAGAGGATGAATCTGGGAATGTTCTGTTGTGGAATGGAGAAATATTTGGTGGACTAGAGGTACATTTTTTTTCGTGTAACTTGAGAATTCCAACAGAAAAACAAAATGAATTGAATAATTTATTATAGCTGATGACAGTGTTGCAATGCAGCATTCCTTTACAAGTGCACTGAGTGTTCACAGTGTCAAAAGGTTGAAGTATTATATTTAGCATTTGGTGTTTAAGATTATAACAAACTACAAAGGAAAAGTCAGACTTCCAAGAAGCACTGTTATCCACCAAGCTTACGATTCTAGGGAGGTATTTATCGAAAAATAATGTTGTAGTTAAAAACTAAACCCTACCATAACTTTTCAGGTAAAGGAAGATGCCAATGATACTCTTGTTTTGCTGGACAAGTTGTCTAACCATCCAGCAGATATTCCTCCTTCTCAACACATTCTGTCTACAATGGCAAAGATACAAGGTCCCTGGGCATTTATTTACTGGCAGGTACAGGCTTCATACAAGGAGATCAATAAATTATCTGGGTTAAAGGAGTATGGAACAATGGTGTGGTAGGATGATTGCCTAACCCTGTAACTCCCATGAGTGACCAATACAGATTTTCTCCTTACAATATTGATACAATATTAAGCAGACAAGTGATGAGAGTAAAAGAAAATATCAACTAGGGGATTATTAGTTGATCCAGTTCAAAATTCTCCAAAGTAACATCACAAGAGTGGTATGGCTGAGAGAAAGGAGAATTAGTGTTGATATCAGGGGAGTAAAAGGGTTTAGAAAAAGGAGAAATAATATCCTACATGTCTGAATGAAAAAGGAATACATGATAAAACAGCCCTGTATTTTGAAACATTTACCACTATTTAACTCAGATAAAAATATTTAAACTTTTGCACACAGGATAAGCTTAACTAAAAAGTAAAAGCTTGCGGCCAGACCTCTAGCCTTGATCACTATGTAGCCCTGCTGAAAGCGGTGAGGTTACCAAATGCTTATCTGGTGTAAAAAAGTTTAAATGTTTTTATTCTGATTCTTCCCCAGATAGATGAAATTCCAAGATTATACTATCTAACTCTGCAAACTATCTCACATTGATCAGGAGGTCGTTCTCTGCCAGAATCAAGGGACAGAACTTTTCTGTGTCAGTAGATGAACAAAAGTAATTTTTTTTTCAGTATATGCTTCCTGACTTCTAAGGTCATGGAAATTAACTAGTAAGAAAATTGTGTGTTGTAGCCAGAGGATTCTTAGATCACTGATGTGTAATAATTACTTTGAAAAGGTGACAAGGGTTGACTAACTCGTCCAAAAGAAGAGGCCATCATGATGAAAAGCTAAATTTTCTCAACTTATATTGTGAGGAAGCAGATGTATTTCTGTTTGTCTAATTCTGATAAAGAATCACTGTTTCCTATCACCAAAAATATGTAATGTAAATATGTATGCCTTTGTAGGCTACTCAACTAATTTATAAGGGAATGTGGAGTGGTTGGAAATGGGTGAGGGGAGGGAAAGAGTTTGAATAAGATCTTAGGAATTTTAAAGTTGACATTATGCCATGGACATTAGCTTCTAATCATACGATTTACTTCTTTGGTTTACAGAATTATCTCTCTTTTCTCTTTCTGGAATGTTTTATTTTTTTAGGTAAGCAAGCAGAAGCTATGGTTTGGCAGAGATTATTTTGGACGTCGCAGTCTCTTGTGGCATCTTCCTTCAAATCCATATGATGTACTTGCAATAACCTCTGTGACTGAGAGAAACTCTGTGGCTGCTGGAACAGATTTGGTGAGCATTTTCCCTTGCTAATTGAACATACAGTGCTCAATCAGTAGCTCTATCACGGCTTCTTGCATAGTTCAAAAGTTGGAATTTTATGATAAAAGCAGCCAGGCCATTTTTCACTTACCCTCTTGGCCAGGATACTCTAACAGTGTTTGTCTCTCTATGCCTAATAGAGGATAATTTGATTTTAATCAACTGAGTTGATGATGTGAATAAGCCACCGTCAAGATACTCTGAAGCTGACGTTTACGAGTGTTAGCCCTTTGCTCTGACAAATTGGAATTTTTCTATTCTTTTTTTTTTTGTAGTGTTTTGAAGAAATTCCAGCCGATGGCCTGTTTTGTTTGGATTTTGTGAGTTCTACAACCGAAGAAGACGAGAAACAATATTTCAGGATAAACAAGTATGAATGGACGAATCCTGGCGAGGAATTAGAAAGGGAAGGGCTTCTAAATTGTCCTGTTTCGCCTTTCAACAAACAAATGCCCACTGAACAAGACTTGAGAATCATTGAAGAAAATAGACGGAAGATAAATTCGCGTTTGATTATACAAGATGAAGTTAAAAAAGAACTGGAAGAACTGTCCATGAAGGAGAGCAAAGGAACGATTAAGGGAGAAAATTATGTAGAAAATGTTAACGAAGAACTTACTGAAGCTATCTCGCGTCTTGACAATGTGGAAACAAAAAACAAAACTGAAGGAATTACAATTGAACCAGGAGCCTCGAACGTGAAGTGTGATCACGAAATAACCGTGCGTGAAAAGTGTGTGCGTGACTGTACTCACGGTATGAACGCGAACGTTACTTCGTCAAATGGAACTTTATCAGATTCCTCTATAGGAGGTTATAGAAATAATTCTTCGGAGAGTCCATGTAAATTCGATCCCAGTCATTATCCGGTTGGCTTTGGCTATACGGAAAACGAGGAAAAATTGTTTTCTGGAAAGTACTCCAAAGACGATACTAAAACTGATATAAACGAAGAAGGCACAAAGCTGTCTTCCAATCTGACAATCACCGAAGAATGCCGTCACTGCAATTTTTTACGAACTCGAAGCGAGTGTGATTCCTGTTTTAAAAAAACAAGAGACAAATTTATTGCAGTTCTTGGTAATGCTGTGAGGAAAAGAGTTTGGAATCTGCCGAGAAATTCAAGAGACAGGCATTTAGTGGCTTCTGTTTCTTTATCTGGGAGAATTGCGGAAGCAAGGAGTTTGGAAACTACAGAAATGCAAGATGCCCGTGTTGGAATATTGTTTTCGGGTGGAATTGATTCAATGATGCTAGCAGCTTTGGCGGATAGGTAAGTCGGCAAGAAAAGGAATAAACAATTAAACGAACTTAAGAACGAACGAAAAACCAAGCGAATTAATAAACTAACGAATGAATGAACCAACAAACGAAGGAACGAACTAACGAACGGACGAATGAGTGAATGGCAAACGAAGGACCGAACGAATAAACGAATGAACGAACAGATGAACGAACGGCAAACGAAGGACCGAACGAGTAAACGAATGAACGAAGGAATGAACGAATAGATGAACGAACGGCAAACGAAGGACCGAACGAATAAACGAATGAACGAAGGAATGAACGAAGGAATGAACGAACAGATGAACGAACGGCAAATTAAGGAACGAAGAAATAAACGAATGAACGAACAAACCATTAAACAAATGAGCGAGCAAATAAACAAGGGAGAAAACGAGATTAGAAACGATCAAACGAGTAAACAAGCAAATGAACAAACGAACAAACTGGTGAACACAAAAACGAACGAACAAACGAATGAACGAGCGATCTTACGGACGAGAAAATGAACGAACGAACGAGTAAACGGAAAATGAACTAACCAAGAAACGAAGGAGCGGAAGAACGAACAAACGAATAGGCCGACAAACGACCGAACGCGCCAACGAACAAACGACGCGAAGAGTAGGCGATCCGACGAACAATCAAACAGCCAAAGGAACAACAGACTCATAAATGAAGGAACAACCCGAGGAACGAACAAAAAAGGGATTGAGTAACGGGTAACTTTAGTTGGATATTAAGTAAAAACCTTTCATTTCTAGGTATGTGCCTGTTGAAGAAGCCATAGACCTTTTAAACGTCGCATTTGAGCAAAAAATTAATTCAAGCCAGCCTCAGAACAAGAATGCCAAAAAAGGAAAGGATACAAGAAAGAAAGCAACGGAAGTGAAATGCTCCAGAAATTTCAGCGTGCCAGACAGAATTACTGGAATATCGGGTTTGGAGGAATTGGGCCTGATCAACCCGTCAAGACAATGGAATTTTATTGAGGTATTGAATTTTTATTGAGGGTTTTAATTGTCACCTATTTATTCTTAAGACGCTCAAAATGTTTCGTTCAGTTTTGAGTTACTTCATAAATTGACCGACTTGTGAGAACTCGCTTCACTGAACAGAAAGCGCGCAGTTGTATTTGGTGATGTAAGCCAAGGTCCACTTTCCTTAGTCACATGCGGCGTTTATTTCCCGCCCTCATTGGTGGACTCGTATACTCACTGAGTTTTCATCGGTCAAACGTAGTGTTTCTTGTGATCGGCTTTCGGATTTTCTATGTTTGTGTTTTAACGTATCTATTTATATACTTATTAAATCGCTCCCACCATGATTTCAATGCTAAAATAAGACTAGGGAAAAAGAAAGAAAATTTTTGAACAGGTCACAAGACAAGGGACGACGGTGCGGGACACATAACTGAGCGAGGCTCCAAATTCAGGGTTTCCCTAAGAAAAATACACAAATACTAACTATGTAGACATTAAAACATTAGTATAAAAATCCTATTTCAAAAAACGATAAGAACGAATCGCTCCCGCAGCTGGTAAGAAGTCTTGGTAGCAGCAATTGCCAGCTAATAGTAGATAACGTGACCTACTGCATTTAAAGCAGATCGACTTTCAGGTGTTAAAGTTAGTGACGTCATAGTTGTACGTAGTTTACCTTCCACCTATAAGTCTGTTCGTTTAAATTCACTTTTGTTTTCTTTGCAAAAGGTTGATGTGACCCTTGAAGAACTGCAAGAAATGAGGTACGACGAGGTAGAGTTCCAAAACAAGAAATGTAAAGTTCTCGTGAGTTCAGAATGGTCTGAAGCTTTTGTTTGATAGAACGTTTGACTGACGCATTCGCGTAGGAAAAGAACAACCCAGTCGCCCTAAACCTCTGCCAACTATACTAAAGAGAAATTGCTTTTAAACCAATCCACATACTAAAATCCTGGTCAAAGTTGGTCAGACTCTCGCACTGTGCGCAGAACTTTGTGCAAAATATGTGACTTATCTATTATAACAATCATTGTTATAATAGAATTGAATTACGGCAGTCAATGGTCTTCCATAATTTCTGTGTTCACGCTGTTAAATCTATCCCAGGTCACGCCACATTAGCCATGTGGTGTCCCCCCTGAACACCGTATTGGATGACAGCATTGGCTGTGCATTGTGGTTTGCTGCCCGAGGGGTTGGTCGTCTGCGACCCTCCTCAGGGAACAGTAACCTCAACCAAGAAAATGAGGCAAATTTTGAAGATAGGACATATTCAAGCCAAGCTAAGGTACACTAGTTGTTAGATATGCCCCTAAATTGTCAATCGGGAAGCGATCTTCAAAGATAGCGAACTTCCGAAGGATCGAAAGTATCGTTGCATTAAGAACTCTCCAACCGGGTATTGTTCGGTTGTGAAGCTCATGGAACAAAGATTACAAAAACAAAAACAAAAAAAATAGGTGGTCAAATGAAGAAAATCGTACTAAAAAAGTAAATCCAAACAAAGCCTGTTTTGCTGCAGTATTTGCTGTACCTCTCGGCCTACAAACTTTTGTGAATAAGATGACTCTCAGATAGCCATATCTTAGATACTTAAATTTTCAGACTACTTTTCCGGTTATTCTCTATAGCAGAGCGTGCGCTTGCGCAATAACCATTCCCACCTTGCAAGTAAGATCAGTGTTCCCGAACGATAACTCTAAAATTCCAGTTGCTATGTAGTAGAGTAATCCGCGTGTTAACCAGATGCGAAATGACCGAAATAAATCGGAAAGAAGCAAACCGAGAATTTTTTTTGTGTTTTTTTTTCTTCCAATTGAAATGCTCGCCTATGTCCTTTTTCCTAATGGTTTTCCTTTCATTTTTTTTCTTTTTCTTTTTTTTTTCATGAGGACTTACCTCTTTACTCAGAGTTCAATTTTTACTATAAGTCGGCGGTACAAAGTAACCATGTGACTCATAAGTATCGTTATCCTCATTTTACTAGGTTCTTTTGGTTGGTATGGGAGCAGATGAACAACTAGGAGGATATGCCAGGCACAGAACGCGCTTCAAGTGAGGGTTAAAGATTAAGACTGCACCCAAGCCATGTGGCCCACAAGGCGCTACGGCCGCTTATCCCAGTCTCCCTAGTATGGAGCAACAAGGAGTATTCTTATACAGTAAACTTAATGTGAAAAGTCTGATTGGTCGAGAGCATACATTTAATATACAATAGCGTGTGAAGTTGACATGGTAACTCAATATCTGCAGCAGATATTGGTTTCAAAAGTGAGTTCAAAGTCTGCCTAGTTTCCAAGCCCTTCGTCCGTGTAGTATTCTCTAAATTTCTCTAAACTCAGAGAAGTGTTTTCTTTTGCAGATTGTTAAAAAAAAATGTATATTTTAACAATTCTTGAATTCGGTTTTTGCATGATATCCCTAAATATTAAACCCCGTGTCTGAGTTATCTGCCTCAGCCTTTGACTTCAAACTACGTTTAACCAATGATGATTCAAGATATCACGCTCATCAATTTCTTACTGGTGTACTCCCGCTGTTTGTGATGCTAGTTCACTACTGGCTATCCTCCCTCCAACCACCCCTCCCTCCTAAGCATTTCGTCTAGTTTCCCGGACAGTTCCCCTGAAATCATTTAAACTCCGTGGTGGAGAGATGCATGGTGAGAGTAAAGCGTCTGTGTTAAAAACACGACACAACGACAAGGGCAGGACTCGATCTCAGACCTCGCGCCCCAATGTTCAACCATTGAGCCTACATGTCTCTTACACTTCACACTTTTTCCTTCTTCGAATTTGATTGAATGTATTTCGCACATGTTTACGTAGGGTTTCAACATAGTCTTTTCTTTTTTTTTTATCATTGCAGTGTAGAAGGCTGGCCAGGTCTAACGGATGAGATGGAAATGGAGGTGAAGCGGATATCTAAGCGAAACCTTGGGCGAGATGACAGGTAAGTTTTTCTTTCAATGCGAACTTCCCTCCCTGTGTACTACATTGTAATCCTCTCTTATCATGCGACGTCTGAGAATCTATTTCTCGACGCTTTATTTGATATTGTGGCTGAAGTTAAATGATCATCGCTTCGGGGAGTTAGCCAGTCCTTCCACTCCCAATACTGACTAAGTCAGAACTTCTGATGACAATATGAATACAACGTCAAGCAGAAAAGTGATAGGGATAAAGAAAAATATCAATTATAAGATTATTAGTGGATCCAATATTGAATTCTCTGTACGAACAGGATAAGAATTGTATGGCAGAAAGTAAAGAGAATTACTAACGAGATCTGGGAGTGAAAGGGTTCAAGAAATACTTAAAGGAAAGCCTTGCTTGAGCAAAAATCACGGTTGGTACTCAGTTTAGAGGGTCGAAAGTAATCCGGTATTTTTTCAGTTTTGCTTGCTCTATAATTGGTTCAGAAAACACGTGCCACTTTCTCAAACAATCAGTGCAAAATTAAAACCAATCACGATTTGGTCACAAGTTTTTTCCCCGCGCATCGAGCAGTTTGCTTGCTTTCGCTTTGAGTTCTCATTGGCTAACGGTGATGTAAACCTTTTTTCTGATTCGTCTCTGGAATTACTTTAGTTTCAGTTTTTCCACACTCAATTGAAAGCGGTTGTAAGGGAACCTACCTTGATTTATGAAAAGTTGACTGACATTCTATTTGGTTTACAGGTGTATCTCAGATCACGGTCGAGAAGCGCGGTTTCCATTTCTGGACGAAGATGTAGTCTCATTCCTGAATAGTTTACCAGTGTGGTTCAAGGTAAAATACCTCTGACAATGTTGTCTTTTAAAACCGCATGTTCGCTCCACGATGCTTAACGAATCCTCTGGAAAAATTTCTTGAAATAAGTGATTGAATGCCTTTCGTCTTTAAATGTTTAAGTCTGCGCACTTCGGTTTTTCAAGCCACGATAACACTCTGTGTTATTTGGTTGGCTTGGCTTCCGTTTATCAGGTTTGTCTTTCATTTTTGTGTAGTTGTCTGTCTTTTGGACCTTTGGTCTGTTTATCTATCTGTCTGTTGTACGGTCTGTCGGCTGTCTTTCTGTCAGTCAGACGGTCGTTTGGTCCCTTAAGTTGTTCTGTCTCTTGGTCAATGCATGTGTAAAAGCTGAAAGTACCTGCTGTCTGTCTCTCCGGCTGGCTATTCTTCCCTTTGTTGGTGGCTCGGTAGGAAATTTGGTCTGTCTGTCTGTCTGTCTGTCTGTCTGTCTGTCTGTCTGCTTCTTAGTTGAGTGGTCGATCGGTCAGTCAGTCTATGTGGCTGTCGGTCATTTCAATTTTCTGTCTGTGAAACCGTAAATGGCGCAATTGTGAAACTTGTCTCTGTCAATTGTAAATCCTAGATTGAAATTAAATAGGGGTGCTTTAGTCTTGACTTAAGTGGTCAATGCAACTGTGAGTCTTCGCGTGCCTGTCGGTTGTTTTAAAAGTTCAATACATTTTATTTCCAGACAGATCCAGGTCTGCCTAGAGGGACTGGGGAGAAACAGCTGCTGCGCCAAGCAGCAAGGTTACTTGGCTTGACGTCATCATCAGAGTTACCCAAGCGTGCGATTCAGTTCGGTTCCCGTATTGCCAAACTGGAGAGCAGTGGAGAGAAAGGATCGGAGGCCTGCTCTAGGCTTGAGTCCTAAATGGCCTGTCAAGTAAGCCAAACTAGCAGTGATCTGATATGTGAGGCTCAACACTGGTTTTGGATCGTTTGCGAATAACCATGTCTAAAAGAGTAGCGTTAGTACAGGTACGGGTATCCCACAAGAGCTTCAAACTTCACATAAACCAAGTGTCCCGTCGAACCGGAGCTTCTTTTGGTAATGGGAGCATGAATTGGCAGTAGTATATTGGTTCTCCTGCTGGATAGGATGTCTGTACATCACAGTTTAACCCCCAGTCTCCCAACGTTTCTTCAACTCTCCCAGACAGTTCGCCGGTACACGTTCACACTGTCACTCCTAGTTGGAGAGAGGCACAAGACCTATCAACCTCTAATCTGGAACTATCGAACTGGATTCTATTGGATGATTTGGTAATAAAAGTAAATCTTACATCGTCATCCGTACCATGGACCAAAAAACTTGCCTGGCTTCGACAGGTCAAATGGAACAACAGACATGTTCACAACGAGACACATCTTAAGTCTACAGTCGTGGCCCTCTCGAGCCGGATTTTCTCGCTCGGGTTTATCTTCTTGACTGGGTGATCGGTTCGTATACTCCTTTTGCTAGATCAAGTACCAAACAAAAGGCATACTTTTCTGCTAACTTTCTGTCGACTCGAACGAATTTTGCTGAGAACGGAACAGTTTTTGGTTTCGTTAATGTGATGAAAAATAAATCTTCTTAAACTGGCGGCACTTGAGTTGATAATCAAACACAACTGCTGTCTCTTCGTCGCAACTAACGCATTCAATGATCATAATAAAATTGTTCTGTCAAATTTTGTTGATTCAATGTGTTTTATCACTGCCAGCATTATTTCATCTGCAGAAGCAAAGTCGCAGAATCGTCGATCCTTTGATTATTAGTCATGAACTTAAGACGACGATTGACCCGAGTCATCGCCGGAAGTAGAAACTATGACTTCTAGTAATCTCGTGGGGTGCTTTACCACTTAATGCTCGGATCCGTGCGACGACACTTTTGAATCTTACATGATCTGATTAGTAATTCTCCATTCTAGCTGCTTCACATTTTCTTATAGACCAGTTCAGAGAATTAGGTGTTATATCATGATCTAGCCTTCGAACAAGTCAGTGTTTCAATGCTCAGCACGGTTTTGCTTTGAGAAAAAATGAGAAGTTAAAGTTATCTTATAATCACTTTAAGCTAAGGGAAACTACAAGAAGTAATTGAGATATTACTTTTCCTCTCATTATCAATACATTATCCAGCAAACGAGGGATGAGAATACAAAATTCTATTAGCTGGATCGAGATGTAGAGCGCATTTCTATTGAGTATTGTAAAGCCGCCAAGACATGGGAAATCACAATAGTTGATCAGAGTCACGCAAAATGTTCTAAGGCGCCAATAAGAGCTACAAAGAAAAACAACCAGACTGCCAGAAGCGCGGTAAAGTACGAATGTTCAAGTCGCGATTGGTGTTTATTTTTTAATCTGATTGGTTGTGGGGTTGTGTTGCGTGAGTTTCCTGGACCAATCACACGGCGAAATAAAGCACAGCCAAAGCAAACTGGATTACTATCGCCCGAAAAATTTGCTCTAACAAATCTCCTACATTTAGCAAAAGTATTAAGAATGCAGAATACCTTTTTAGATCTTTCAATTAATTACAATAACTGTGATTTTAGTCCTAAAGCATTTTTTGTTTAGAAATATCAACTACTTTCTTGTGCCATTATTAACAATCTCACCCACACCACGCTGGCTTTGTAATTTATTTTCTCTACCCTTGTCCGTCAAAGATTCCTATCATTAATATTGATAACAGAATAAGTTAAACTACCTGCTTGACAATTTAAACATTTCTGTCAAAAAGTGCAGATTCTTTGACAGGTCCACTGAAGGTGATTCAATTATGCACAAGGCTGGAGTTTTAAAGCGAGTTGATGCCCAAAAAACCGCCACAAATCTTGCAAGGTAAGAGAAAAGCTGTGATTTGTGAATTACTCTTTTTATATAAACGGTGTGATGTTATAACTGGTGATATGGGGTTGTTATTAGTTACGCAGATGAGAAATTGCCGTTAAGTATCTATTCTGAACTTTTTTACCTAGAGCGTCAAATGTCTTCCTTGTTCTCGATCAACTGAAGACTCATATTTATCCATTTTCGTCCAAAGATAAGATAATCTTCAAGATAATTGAACGAGATTGTATGGGTATGTTTGACGTTGTGTAGCAAATCTTTAAGTCTGATTGAGGTATTTTTACAAACTCAAAAAGAGGTACTGAATTAAAAAGATCTTGCATTTAAAAAAAATTCTCCCAATTTGAGACTTCCATTCGTTCAAGATGAGAGTTGAATTTATTGAATTTCGCCAATGAAAAACACTGATACAGAAAGATAAGGCCTCGTTTGAATTAAATTTCTACACAAACCTTGTGGCAAAAAGTAGCTTTGGACATAAATAATTTATCTCCAAAGCTAATTTATAATTTGAATCAACAATGGAACAGAAAACTGTTTAAATTCTGAACTTGGTAAAACGGTTCCGACTCTTCGCTTCTGAGTCACGATTCTGCTTGACTGCGTCGCAATATTTTTAGACGCATATTTAGTTTTGATATATTTCTGAGTTCTACCTGCAGAATGACAAAGAATCAAATTTAGTGTTAGTTTATTAATTCTTTTACCAGGTGACAAAAGAGTGATTTCTCAATTATGACAACAAAACCCCGAGTAAACCAAATCGAAAACACGGTGTTTAAGATAAATGATGCGGTCGACTCATGCCATTAGAACGGGACAGACCGCAATAACACGACGAGATATTCTATTTCATCTGAGAAGGAATTATTAATTTTATTCTAGTTAGCACGATTACAAGTACAGGGTTCTTAGGGCATGGAAAACCTTTGTGAGGCATTTATTATAAAGTTACCTGAGATTATAATTACATCCATTGGGTTTTATCCAATTAACTCCAGGAAAAATGGTTTTAAGGTCATTTTAGTTGAAAGAATCGATCAGATTATATCGTCTTTTTTTTAAAGAACTAATTACCAGGCTTAAATATGATTTTAGAAGTTTACGGAGTTGACGGAACAGAAGAAAATTTACCATAAAGCGACTCACGTGAAATTTTTTACGCTGCAAGTGTTTCCTATTAAGTTCGTCTTTTCCGTTTGAAACGAATGGCACACTGGAATTTCTTCCCTGCTTGTTTAAAGCTGACTAAAAGGCTGTGCTTGTTTTCAGGCAGCTTTTATCTACCGCCGTTTTGGTAACAAAAGGGCTCATGAATTCAAATGTTTAGTGTCTTACTTCACGCCAAATATTAATGATATAGTTTTCTATTGATTTTTTACGTAGATGGCCGTAAGAAACTCACTCTCTCCAACCAGTACCTGATCGTTATGTTATGAATTTCAAAGCAGGTAGTTTCGCAATGTTTCTGCTAAACACAAACTATTATTTTAGGAGAGGTATCGGTTTCCCAACATTTTTCGTTAGAACTTTTTGTTTTGACTACTTCTGTTTGAAATTTTACTCTGTTCGAGTTCAGTTGTTTAATTTAAAGACAGTCTTCAAATTTTCAAAACATATTTTTGTCCCTCTAAATATTTCGTTTTTAGGTGAAAACAGTAAATGAGTAATCTTGTGCTACTTTTTGGGAATACAGCCGTGTTGCGAGAGGGATTAAGACTCGTTTTCCTTAGTGACAAGTTTATCTGCATCTATTTTACGAGACTGATATTTTTGCAATCTCATTAATGTACATACGTCGGTATGCTAATAATGTCGTTACCAATACCAAGAAAAAATATAGTCAAACAACCTGCTTGTCAAGTCAGATTCTCCTGTCAAAAACTGGGAATTTTATGATAATCTACGAGAGGATACCTCAGTTGTGTACGATGGAGAGCTTTTAAGACGCTCAATGATACTAAATGTAATAGCCAAAGGGCCCCATAAGGCCCTCCCTCGCAGCCAAAGACTCGGTCCACTTTTCGATGTGCTGCGACAATCTTATAATAAGAGTTCTGATCATGGTTGAGCAAGAATAAATTACAAACTTTAAATCTAATTTTTTTACGAAATTGTTAGAATGGACGATTCGGGAAAAGTGTTCGAGGCGCTGTACCATTACAACAGACGTCCGGGTAGAAACGTTTGCACTTACACAGAAACTTTTTGAAGTTCCATTCAAGATTGGTACATTTGAAAGCAACTTTGTGGAAATGCAAAACAGGAAGATATCTTTCTTTCTTATTGAAATATTATTATTTTTCAGAAAAAGCTAGCCAAATTTTATTTTTATTGACAGTTTTATTGACTTATTTTTTGTAATGAGACTGCTTCTAAATTTGGTGAAATCCTTACGGGTCCCTTAATTGCGTGAAAACTACATTTGCCTTCGGCGATTTTTTTTGAACTCTAAACTCTTTGAGAAATGTTGTGTCTTTGCAGGTAATGATTTGTACCAAACCTAAAGGTGTAAGGTTCTATCCCACAAAAATGTGCCATTAGCGTTAAGCGTGTTTTATTTATCTGAGATATAAAACCATCGGCCAAGATAAAGTACAAGTTTGGTTCATAAAATGTCTACGGTTTGTTTCTCGTATTTATGAGCCAAAGTTTCGGATATGGGCATCAAACTGAAAATGCATTAGTCAGAAATTTTAAATGTTTCAGATAACTTCCAAGTTTCCTTGATCATACAGAGAGGGATTAAATAGTGTAGATAAGTTACGAGAGGTAGCTGTATCTTTTCATATATGACAAACTGAATAGAATATATTTTTATCACAGTATTGACTGGTGCTGAGAGATTCGTAATTAGAACATTATATGAAATCGCAAAGTTGTTACTTCTTAAGTCACCTTTTACAAGGGGATAGAAATTTTGATAAGGAACCCTGTGTTCGAATTCCTCTAACAGAAACTCACCCATTCTAAGAATTTCCGCTTTTTATATTAGTTTTTTTTTTTAAATAGCTGTTTATTTTGTTTATGATTTTTGAAGAGTTAACAATCATATTTGCCCTCAGGGAATTTCGTTCCTTTAATTTTCAAGTTTTGGATCATTTGGGAGTATATTGCCATCGCTGGGAAAACTAAAAATCTTGTTGACGTTTACTGTAAACACACTGAGATGTGTCATAAAGTAGTTTGCCATAAGTCATATCTACCGAAATATTTCAACAATTAGAGTGACGATATACTGGTAAAGTTGACACTGATAGTAATTATAACAGCATCATAGATATGGACCGTTCAGACTTTGCAAACTTGAATCCAGATTCATCTCAGTTATTAACACAGGTTGGACCTTTTCTCGGTCTCTAGTTCACGCGGTATTTGTACGGCCGTGTTGGTATTGTGCAGCATTTCCTTGCCCTTGGCGGTCTATACCAAGTACTGACATCATGAATATTGCAAACAGTATAAGTTAAACTACCTGCTTGACAAATTAAACAATTCTGGCAAAAAGTGCAGATTCTATGACATTTCGACTTGAGATAATCCAATTATGCAGAGGACAGTATTTTGGGGGTTTAATCCAGAGGATGCACCCATGATATATACTCAAAAGTAAGAAACAGTATATTGTTTTAAGGCATCATGTTTGATTAGTTGGTGTAAATCCCTCTACGTTACTAACTATGAGGTAAACTTGTTGTAGTGATATCACAAAATAATATGAAGCCGCAAAGTTTCTTTTATTAGCTTTTGAACAGAAATCAGTCCTGTTATTTTAAAGGAAGTTTCTTCATCCAAGAACTGTTTAAAGCACCTGTATTTTGGCGAAGAAATATAAGTTCATCTGAAACTCGTTTTTTATTTGTCGTTTGCGGGGGAAGGTAATGAAATGAAAGTTTTCGAAACCGTTTCTGTCAGTGAAAACGTGGAAGCGAAGTCAGTTTTAACGAGCACAGATGATAGATAATGAAAACCTGTGTGGCTGAAAAAAGTTAAAAACGATCACTGTTTTTGGATATAGTTTTGTAAAAAAAGAAACAGAAAGCTTTACGAAACTGCGGTAAAAGTAGGTTGAGGTGCTTAATTATTTATAAATAGCCTGCAGAAAGTGTTGTAAACAAAACCCTAGAAATTTAAAACCATGTCAAAATTGAGTAAATTAGATTCATAAGGAAAGGTGTTAACTTCTTTTCAGACCGTTTTATAGTGGTCAAGATTGTGGTTCTTTTAAAAGATAACATCTTTGATGTATGTTATCTTTTGTGGCTCATTGACTGACCATAACTTTAAGCACACAGACACTCGCGAAATTCACTTCGGAGAAATTTCATTATTATTCCAGCAGCAAGCTCGAAGATAATCTATTATTGAAAATAACTGCTGGCGTTTTATCTCAATTATTATTTCTATTAACGTTTGGAGTGTGTTCAAGATTGTTAGCGAGCTAGAGAATATCCCTTCTATTGCACTATTTACCGAAAAAATTATACGACAATAATTTCCAACAAGGAAAATTTACGCTTTTTACTTGACTCAAAAGTATTTCGATGAAGTAATTCAAAACTAATAAATTTTTTTTATTTGTATCAAACCGTAAATTCTCTAGACCATATCCCATGGATTTTCACGCATGCAAATTTTTTTATTTGTATCAAACCGTAAATTCTCTAGACCATATCCCTTAGATTTTCCCGCATGCAAGTTTTGAGAATATTTTAAAGAACACTTCGATATCGAAACATCTTCTCATGATCAAAATTGTAGACTCAAAGAGGATTTCCTCGTTGTGTCGTTTGAATGCTCAATGACGAAAACAAATTTCTTCTATGGATATCAAATTTTAGTTGCAATGAATTGTGCTTCCTAAAGACATTCTTTTCAAATGTTTCAATCATTTTCTGTAAACTTTAAACCGGGATGAAATGACCAGTTTGTCAGACATTTTTTAGTTGAGATTAACTAAACATTTCTTTCACATTGTTTCGTGTTTATTCTGCGTAATGTTATGTGGTATTGCGTCAACGTTGTGTTAGGTTGCTATAGCTGGTCGGACTCAGTTTTTCGTGAGAATAAAAGCTAGTCTGGTATAAAACTCAGATGCACTGCCTTTTGCAGCGCATAGACGTAGCTCTTTGTGGTACATTTTCTTTATGCCCTTTAACTAAAGGTGTTTTCAATTCTCAGTCATTACAAGAAAATGTAAGAAACTCCATGTGAAAGCTGGCATGGCACTGTTTGACAGTAAGAGTGAAGAGGCAAGTCCAGGCCGAGAAGATGGACTTTTTTCACATTTTTCTAAACCATGCTGTTCTTTGACTTCAAATTCTAGGGGATGTTTTCTTTTTTAAACGAATAAGTCTTACATTGTGCTCTTTCGATATTCAGATCAATCTCTGATGTTTTCAGGCCACTTCATCTTTTAAGCCAACTTTCTTATGACTTCAAATGCAGGAAAAATTTTTTTTTTAACCAATATTTATTTGGTTTATTCGTCCTTATCCGAGAAGACTAGAATATCTATCCATTTCTTGATATTATAAAAAGGTAGCAAATTCTCCTCTTATTTTAAGACCATGAGTATTGGTCCGGCCGGGGCTCGAACCCTCGACCTCACGCACAACACAATCCGGCGCTCTAACCAGATATCTCCCGACCACACTGATATGGTATTTATAGCCTGCCCTTGGCGGTCAGTTTTCCAATAGGGTCCTGATGAATATTAATAACGGTATAAGTTAAAGTACCTGCTTTACAAATTAAAATTTTCTGTCAATGAGTGCAGATTTTTCTTTGACAGTTTGACAAAACGTTGAATTATGCACATTTAGTCAATGAGATTGAACCTCGAAAGTGGAGAGTCGAGGAAAAAGAATGTGAACTGGTAACGATGTGTTAGTAAGGTTGTCTGAATTACGAGAAAGAGTTAATGATATTTTGTTGTGTTCAAACTTGATAAATTTATTTTAAAAAAAGAATAAAGTATTTCACAGTCACTAAATACCAGTCAATGTAATGCAAGGAAAAAAAAAGCCTTTCTGATTGATACCATTTTTTTTTTTTTTCGCAAGAAAGTTGGCCCTTTTCATCACGCAGGATAATTATTCATTTAAATTTTTCACAAAATTTTTTTCTATAAGTTTTGCGTCACTCGGAAGAAGTGACTTTTTTGTTAAAATAATGGCTAGCGCCAACTATTTAGCAGTTGAAGTGTCTAAATTTTATGATATAATTCTTAATAGTTTTTGCGATAAAAGTAACACCACTCTGAATGATTTATCGGTCCGGAACACCCGGTATCTGCGGTGTATAATCAAAACCCTGAAAATTTCCAAGTGCAAAATTGTTTAAATAAGAAGCGTGGGAGGATATTCACAAAATAAAGTTAATTGGTGCGAAATGGGTTGGCTTTGCCTTAAAAGTGGATATCTAGTTATAAGTTTGTAGTCTTAAGGTGTAGAAATCGGAAGTAATTCCTCCCCTTGAACGTCCGACAAGCAGTTTTTCTGCGTTTGTACTATTATTTGACAGGTGTCGAATGCTTGATTAGGTTTAATTAATACAACAAAGCTCCAAATAACCCAAAACCAAAAGCAAGGCCCCGTACTTATTTATAGGTTCGTGTCTTTCGTGGTCAGAAATTGGCCTGAACGCAAGAGCATGGTTCGTAATTCGTTTCTGGTTTAGGTCTTGTAGAATTTGAAGATTGAATCGTCAAACGTTTGACTCTAGACTCGGGCTGATTTTTATCTTAATTTTGAGGGTAAGTTAGTTTTTTGATTGGATCTTGGTTTTGTATCATATATTTTCTTTTACAAATAGTTTTACTTTTAGGGGGGAAAAACTGGTAGGGAAATTAATGAATCTTGTCAGTTATCGTGGGAGTGTTCTGGTCTTCACTGCAGATACAAGAAATTTCAAGGTTCGCTGACATTTAAATGGAATTCCTATAGAAACAAGAAACTGCGTTCATTTTCTCTCTCTTCCGCGTTTATTTTCGTATAGAGATCATTGTAGAAAATAAATTCTGAATTCGGTCGTGAAATTTTTTGACGTTTAACTATGAGGGAAATTCCATCACTTAATTCTGGTCGAGAATATTTTGGGTTGCTATTTATTCTAGTAGCTAAACAGAGATGTGCAAGGATATTTTTCGACTATTTTCCTTTTTTTACTTGAGCTTGTTTTCTTTGGAACAATAATGGAGGTTCGTGGGTCTATGTCAGACAAGACCCAAAATTTCAACTCGTCACTGAAGTTCAAGTTGACAAAATATTTCCACTTTAAAAGTCCGTATATAAAAAAAAAATCAATTTTGGCCGTACTTGTCATTCTACAGCTAAATCATATGACATCCAAAGTTAAGTTGATATCAATAATTTTTGGTATCATGTATTTCCCTAAAATTGACATATATTCAGTTGCAGGCTGTTGATGTGCAGGTTTTGATGTCGGATTGATCTTGACAATTTTATTTTGCCCCTTACTGAAGTGAAAACAAAATAAGGGCAATTTTTTGTTTCGTTCTTTTATAGCTTTTTGTAAGCATCACTCTAAAATGGAACACGGTTGCCCTAGGTTGAATAGTTTCTCCATAGTTTTAAGACTCCGAGTGAAGTATTTTGGTCAATAACATAATTTCTGTTGGTTTCAAAACTTTTTTTTCTTTTTTGATGGAGTTTGTGCCAGTTTCATAAATTACGTTTTGGTTGATTCGCTTATGATTTAAGATTCTTTAGCAAGAGAGTGTGAACGACGTCTCTTTCCATCCACAAAATACAAACCAGCTTTATTCACACTTTGACTTTAACATAGCGTCAAAGGGAAAAACTTCTCGGTATTTCCTTCCCATTCCATTCCATTAGCAAGAAAAAAACTTACTATACTTTCATATCTTTTCTTTACATTTCCAACCTAAAGACTTGTTTGTAGTATCCTCACAGACCATATTGCCCATGCTGATATTAGCTTATCTCCTTGCCCTTGGTGGTCCATATCGGAGGTATTCTCATCATTAATATTGATAACAACCCAAGTTAAACTACCTGCTTAACAAATTAAACATTTCTGTCAAAAAGTGTAGATTTTATGACAGCTTAACTCGATATTATTCAATTATGCACAAGACAGATTTTTGGGGATAGCTTGGGGCAAGTATTCCACTAAGGTAATAAGTATTTTTGATTGTATAATTTGAAGAATTTCAGAAATAGTTTTTCGATAGGTATGTCGTAATAAGGGGAATTTTTGTTGATACTTCAGCTGAAAATAAAATAAACAATCATTCCAAGAGCATAACCAATGAACAAAGTGTTTTTGCCTTTTAAGATGAAAAATTTACTTTACACCGAGCTTAACCCGTTTCGATACAATCAATCTGTGTATACTTCAACAATGATTGTTGTACGAAAGCTTCGTTTGTAAACAAGTTTTAACTCTCATGAAACAAAGGAAAATAGATATGTTTTCTTTGATCCAAACAGGTGAACGTGATTTTTAATTGTTAAACCACTTTTCAAGAAGGTATTTAGCCAAATTTGAACGTGTTAAACTCCTAGTTGTTTTTCAATTATTTCGCACAAACACAAATGCATTAAAACTCATGTTTTGGACAATATATATTGCTTAACAAACCGTGCGGTAAAAAGTATCCCTTTTCTGAATAATTTAACAGATTGCCTGCTAAGTGTTGAAAACAAACCCTTAGATATCGTAAACATCGACGAAAACCAAGAAAATTGGATTCACGATTGGGGCATTAAGCAATTCGTTTACCTGACGCGCTTTGTTTGCGATGGGCAAGTCGCTAACATTGTATATTTCGGTACCTAAGCAAAACCGTCGAGCGTTAAACTTGGACTGTTATACCAAGGTAACTTTTTTAGGTGAAACTGAAGTAAGTTAAATTCCATAACTATGACAGCAAAACCCCAAAGTAAATATAGATAAAAGGTAAGACTCAAAATGTTTCATTATTCTAGTTCGTGGGCAAACAAATTTGATATCTCAAAGTTGCACTACGAGCTAGGACAGTCTAAGAGTTTTTGTGGACATTGCTGGAATTGCATTCATTCACCTAAATAACCAGCCTTCTCATTTTTCACTTGTTAATCATACCCCGATAATAGACAAAATATGAAAATTGCAGAGGTTCAACCTATAATTAAGAACCAAGTCATCAACATAAAACTTGAATAAAACCAGTTCAAAATCCCGTATATTTTTACCCTACCAATTTTTTTGACGTGGTTGATTCTCAGACAGTCGTTTAACCCCTTTTGACAATAAAATTACTCCAAGCAGTCTATTGCATGCGTTCACCGAACTTTTGCCTTTTTAAAGTGATATTTGTTTTCAAACTGGTTGAAGTGGTAGTGACAGTTAGACACTGAAATATTGCAGTGAGTTATTCAAAACAATTGCGCAAATACCATTGATTTCATTTAAACGGGTAGTAAAAATTTTAAATGTTTGTCATTGTATTACAAAAGGATCCCAACGTGCGCTTTTCAGAGGAGAGAGGCAATAATTCCTTCAAAGCATATATTTCGGTGTTTCTAACTTCGCTTTTCTTTTTCAGAGAAGCCATGAGCAAAGTTCAGCCTTTAACGGAACGTAAACCAGAAGGGCCTGGATCCAAGAGGCCGCCATTCACCTGGGAGGAGATTTGTATGTATTTGTATGGACATACGCCTATGGAGCCTGCAATCACTGAAGACCAGCGGAAAAATGTCAAAAGAGAAGAAAACGGCCCAGGTAATAATTTGAGAAGTATTTCTTCTGATTAGTTTTACTGCTATCAAAAATTTGTCTATTTTTTTCTTATGAATCTTTGTATCCGTACTAAGAACGTAAGAAAAAGCGATGTTCTCTGCCAAGCCCATCTATGATGTTCCCGGATGAAGTGAAACTCTGCAAGTCAAGCGTTCCCGGAGCGGAGTTTGGAGTGTGCGCAGCACAGCCCATTCCTCCCGGAACATGGATCGGTCCGTATGAAGGCCAGGTTGTTAGGTGCGATGAACTGCGAGAGGGAGTGCATAATAGTTATATGTGGGAGGTAAGAGGACACTTTTTTTTTCAGCGTAAAATATTTTTGTTTGATTTACTGCGATCTGTTAACAATTGATGAGCCATACCACACAAAAAAAAATTTCGTTTGTTGAGTCAAACTGGCAAAAATGATTGGGAGTGCAATTGCGTTCACAAATAGAACTGTGGGGCGGCGTCCTACTTAGGTAAATTAATACCGTTCCCAGGTTCTCGCCTCTTTTATCCCCAGGCAGTGGGAGATACCTTTAACGAGTCGTAAATGGTGACAAGATCTTTTCGTATGATGGTTCTTAAACAGCATCTAACGGGAAATTTAGGGGTATGACAAAAATTTTTGTCATTCTAAATGGTCAAGTCCCCATGACAGGAAAAGAGAGTCACCTAAAACCTAAGGCCTCCCGGCTCCCCTCCCCCACCCCTCCCCCC